GCGCTGCTTTATATCTTTTTAGGTTAAAGCAGAATGATGTGCAACCAAGTGGTATAAAAGCTACAAAGACTCCTCCCATTATGAGTAGTTTGCTATCAAGTAGCAACACTGGCTATTTTTTTTATGCGTACACGGTGAATGAGAACGCCCCAAATTTGAGTTTAGTTCACTCATAATCGCCAAAAGTGTAGGAACTCAGCGATGAGTAAATTTGTCTCATGATTTCCTGTGGAAAACCTAAAAAATCTGCCAGAAAATGAGGAAATTGACGAAAATTTTATTCAGTCTCGGAGTAGTACCAATAGACTGAGTGAATCCAATCTTTACTTTTCTCAAATTCGGGAATTTTTCCCTGGAAAATCCTGGAAAAACCTGGGAAAACATGAGGAATATTTACTCATCGCTGAGTTCCTGCACTTATTTCTGAAATAACTAAACTCAAATTTGGGTCGTTCTCATTCGCCGTGATAGATATCGGCGCTGGTGGTTAGCGTAATTACCTCTCACCCCAGCAGGCCTGGGTCCAATCTCAGTCGGCGCCATCGGCATGTTCTAAGGCATAACATCTCTGGGAGCTGCCTCCCTGGCGTCGGTAGCATTGGAGCTCAGTACGGAAAACAAATCTCGCGTCACTTTTCAATAGGTCCTATCTACATTGATCGATTCTCTTCATCGACACTCTCTTTCGTAAATAACTCGGCTTCACAAATCTGGATCAACAATAGAAAAGAGCCCATCAGCATTTGTAAACAAACCGTTCCAAAGCCCTTTACTCACAAAACGAAGGCCACCCACACAAACCAACACCATCATCGGATAGGGGAAACTTCTACCTACAAGATGTTGGTGTTGGTTTGTGTGAGTGGCCTTCGATTTGTGAGGCTTTGGAACGGTTTGTTTACAAATGCTGATGGGCCCTATTCTATTGTTGATCCAGAAATGTTTCCTGCCGTCTTCGTCGAATTAGATGCTAGATTGTTGCTTCTTCCATCGAAAATATCCGGCCGTGGCGATTCAAAGTTGATCAAGGTTGATCAAAACAATTTGTATCCCTGCTTCCAGTTTGATCACATGAGCATTTTGTGTGGTCGGTGGTTCTGAATATGGACAAACAGGCAGATGAATTCTATTCCTACTCTTTACTGTAATAAGCTTGGTGGCCCTGAAAAGAGCCGTTTTGTTTTCAATGTTGGTGATGATTTAACCTCTGAAACCAAACAGAGTGCGTCTCTGTCACTTCAAAAACGTAGATGACATCCATGGCCGCTTACGCTTGGCGTGTTTAGTGTAGGTAACAGCATCACAGATCTCATTTTTCAGGAACACCTTCAGCACACCTCGTAAATCAAACCGGAGATACGTCAGACACCGCCACGGCGAGCCAGACGACGGATGGTGGTTATCTCGAAGAATTTGCGTTTGGTTCTGAACATGGCGATGAGTGTGTAAAATATTACGCAATTCCATCCTCCCTATTCGCACGCGCCTGAGGATCGGAGGCGAATGCCACTTCGACTTGTTTCGTCTACTTACTACTCTCTGACGACTGTGCTGGGGAAGCAGCATATGCATGTAGGTAATTGGTGGATTTGTTAGTTAATTCGACGCTTTTGGACAATGCTGAACATTTACCAGTTTTTCAATAGTTTCTTGTTGAAAATCAACATTCGGAAGCATTGTTATCAATGCGTAGCCATATTTCTGATCGATTGGTGATAAAATTATTGAAATTGGACCAGGGGTAGCTGAGTTATTAACGTTCAAAATCTTTCTTAATTTGTTACATGTTCCATTTTCGGTTTTCACAAAGTGTACCCCCATATAGAAATCAAAGACGTAGTCCTACGTCAAAAAACAAATTTCGTACATGGAAAATTAGGAAACATTCCAAGCACTAAGAAATAATTTCAATATACCGGATTAAAAATAATTTTCAAGCTTAGAGCCTTGAAAATTCCAGGGCCATTAAATGTTTCCAAGTTTGAAATCTCATAAAAAATCTCCTAGTGTTTCCCGTTTTCTTTTTTCCGAGCGTGGATTTCGGGATCCCTTCGGCGTCTCCTGTGCTTCAGTCGTTGCCTTATCCTTGACCAGTCTCGGCTCTCGTTATCAGTGTATTCTGTTCCCGTTCGGCAGCAGTTATGACGAATTTGATTTGAACATTGATCCTAGTGTGGACGTTGTTCTTATCCTTTTTAAGTTCAGGCTGAGTTTTGGTTCTCTCAAGCTGCAGTTCTTCTTGGGCTGTGCCACTGCTGAATTTCGGTGTGAACAAATGGCTTAGTACAAAAGCTATCTCTCCTTGGAGTACTTACTGCCATGCTTGGCATACACAGTTGTACACACCAACTGCTCATTTGTTAATAACTTTTCACTCAGGTGTTGAAATTCGTTTTTCTTTAAAGTAATTGATAGATTAGGATCATAGTTTACTATAGATATGCAAACAGTAGGTAAATCTTAACATTTGAATCAACACCAATGAATTTTTACACTTAAAATACGAGATGTGCAGCGAGCATTTCTCACTTCATTTTTACAACACAAAAACAAATACACTTTATTACTAGAATTAAAATCTACTTGTTTTTACGTATCAATAACAAGCTTAAACTCTATTCTATCTATTGCTTCAAAAAGAACTATGTTACGTCAATTGTGTGCGAAGTTATTAGCAAATGAGCAGTTGGTGTGTACAACTGTGTATGCCAAGCATGCTTACTGCTCTCCTTGCAACATTGTGCTCCTTGCGTGCACGTCCGCTCTTTAGTTTTAACTGTCTAGCGTCTTGCCGTCGTCCTTCATATTTTATTTTATTTTTTATTTTCTTAATTTTTGTTACTTTTTTCAATTTTCTCCATTCTGTTGGGTCCACCCTCCGGACCGCTATATCCACTCATTGTATGTAGTCGCCTATCTTGGGCTCATGGTTATCTATGCAAGCAGGGAGGCCAGACACGATCCTTCATGGGAATCGTGTTCAGAGTAAGTCAGGAATATTACATCTGAGCCTACTACCCACCAAATTTGGCGACAAGTTTTGAACGTATCCGGAGGCCTGCTATGGTTTTACCGGGACGCCACGCCATTACCCAACTTCCCAGAATAGGCAGGCTCCCGCTGCTTATCCGGGGTTGATTATTGAATATTCGCAACTAACCCATTGCAGGCCGTTCAATCATCCGCAACCTATTGACCTGACTGGAAGTTGACAGCTGAGCCCCTGATGTGTATGTGTGCGTATATTAATTGGCCCCTCATCACTCTTTTTGCAAACATTCATGCAAAAAGTGTTTGTTGGTTGCTGACAACGTTACTTTTTAGTTTTTAATTTTGAACTACCCATAAACCTGATAGAGAACTCATTTAAGACTAGTATATCAATTTTCATAGATTTATTATTATTATTATTTAGCTTTATTAAGGAGGCTTTCAGCCTTGGGCTGGTTCGCCTCCAATTCATAGATTTATTTTAAATTAATAGTTTATGAAGGCTTAATCATTGTGCATACAACGCATTACTGGTAAAAAAAAATAAATGAATTCAAGATAGTGGCCATATTGCTATAGCGGAACTGATTATTGTAAAACTGCAGCCGTGCATTGCAGAATTTCTAATATCTCAAGTAATTTGCATCTGAATTACTTGAACATGTTTTGGTCAGCTTCTATGCATGTATCAGGTCAGTAAAAAAAATTATAGCATGTGCATATCCAAAACACGATGCAAAAAATTGAATATTCATCGTTGCGTAAAACATCGATACATCGCAGATTTGCAAATATTTGCAGTATTTTCATTCTCAGGTCATTTCTCAAAATTCCAATCTACCCATCAAATATTCTGCTCTGAAATGTCCGGAAGGCAAACAAAACACATTTTTTCAACAATGGTAGCCAGCTTTCTCCCTGATTTAAACAATTTTTATGTTTGTACATTCTCATAATATTCAAAATATTCCACATACCTTTCTTTTGCAGAGCCATATGAATGGAAACATATCAAAAAATTCATGCATGCTCAAATCTGTTTTAATGCGATTTTCAATTTTTCTATTTTGGGGTCATGCTGAATGGGTAGTTGATTTTTTCGTGATTTTTTTAAACAAGTTACCTTAAATAATGTTGCAATACGAGCTCTAGAGGTGAAAAAGCCGCTTAAAGCTAAGAAAAATTGATAATTTATTGATAAATTATTATTTTTCCAGCATTTCATAATTTTAAGGCGAGAAAATAAGTTTTTCTGTTCCTTCTGTTCTTATTAGAATGGTTTTCTGGCAAATTGGTTCTGGCGAATGACCTTCTGGCAAGGCCTTTGGCTGAAAGTCTCGTTAATAAAGAGCACCATCCAACCTTTTGGCAAGTGATTTCCTGGAAAATGTCATATAAACATGTTATCCTAAAAATAGTAAAAAAGTTAAAACATAAATACACTGTTAACTTAAAATCACATTTGTGGCACTGGTTAAAAACTAGCTTCAAGTAATTTCAATCATACGCCATTACACGGTTTCCAGTCCACACACCAAAAATGTTTAAACTATTTCACATATTGCCACAAATTGGTTTTGGCTAGAAAGTTTTGATAGCAAGCTGAGCATCAACACCCTTCAAAGTTACGTATGCTTTCTTCCATTGTTTGCCATTTTTGGAGAGAGTTTTGCACCCAGAGGGGAAGGAATTTGTGCCGGTATTTGGGCAGGATATAAACTAGCATTATTTATTATTTTCTGACCAGCAATATCCTCTCTTACCGGATGCAGATTCGAGAACATTTTCGCAGCAACAACCGGAGAACGCCTGTTTCATCCGTTTTGGGTGTTGTTTTGGTTGTTTCTTTGAGTTTGAACTTTTGTGATATGCGCAACTTGTGTGAAATGGTGGTGGAAATTTCCACTTTCGTACAGGCGTTCGGAATCAGTTGTGAAATAGAAGCTCCGATGCTATTGAGATTATACTTTTCTTGCATAGATCACGCACAAAATTTGTCATAAAGTACAATGTTACCCGTTGAGTGTGATTTAAGATTAAGCCAATACATTTCTGCTAAGTACAATAGTTGCTATCGTTCTGTCAGATACCATTACCTTCAGGCACACCTTTCCTTAACCACCTTGGAGCTAGTTTGATCATGAGAAGAGCGCCCAAAGGAGCTGTGAAAATAATTGCAAGAACCGTTACAATAAGAACCGTTTGAGCACGAGGTAGATCGTCTGTTGCATTTAAACTACGTGCCAGATCCAGGGCAGCGGGACCAAGAGCCGCTTGTACAGTAGCTTTTGGGAAGCCAGACAGTGTGACGTAGGCTTTCTCCTTCCAGTTCAGGTCACTACCAAGCGTTGAACAGTACGAAAAAATCAGCCGAAACTAAAATATAGAGTTGAAATAAGAAAATTATTTATTAACAATTGTAATGAAGAACACTTACCAATACAGCAACTAACAGAGTTATTGCTCCATATAGCACCGTATTACCTTCCAGTACCGAAAAGTTGACTTCCTTTCCAATCAGTGAGAATGAAACCGGTTTCAAGAATTTCCACAGCAAATCTAAGTACATTCCAACTTCGTTGGTGTCGTAATCGATGCGCTTCTTCCAACCCGTTCCAGCGACAAAAGCCGTCACGATGCACCCTAGGGCCCCCGCTGAGGGATACCCAATCAGTTTGCTCCCAACGACCGACAGTGTTCCGGCGAGAATCGTCATCGAGAAGCGCAAGCCGTTGGAGTATTTCTGTTTGAATAATTAAAATTTTAATAAGGACTAGCGTGATGTACGACACAGCACCCCGGTGAGTGCGCTTAGGGCTCCCACACAGCAAGACTAGCTTGTAGGTAGACAAGTAAGAGGAGAAATTTCCCCGTTCTTGTCTTATGAGAGGTCAAATTAAGATGTGGCGTGTAAAGTGTACGTATGAATGTATATAATATCATACCGCTTGATAGGATGGCATGTAGAGTAACCCGGCACCGCATGCACCGCCAAACACTAGACCAATTACGATACCGATTGGCCCCTGGAGGATTTGACTCGTGAGGTTACCTGTACGACGGAGAAGAAGAACAATGTACATATGTTTGGGTAAAGGGTGCAATATTCACTATGGTTTCAGATAGTATGCAACTTTCCAAATTCTCTTCTTTGCTCCCGGGGTAGGTAGCAGGTGCAGATACCATGCTGTGAAAACCAGCACGTACTACGGAAGCAATAACGTCTTTGACACGGAGTGCGTCTTGCTATGGCAAGTCCAGGACTGCCATCATTCCGGGAAAAATATCAATTTTAACCTTGCCTCAATTCGCTGCAGTAAAACCGTGAACATATTTTCTCAAAACTAGGGGCTTGGCATTCCTGCTCACAAAGAATTCGCTGTTGCATCGCTTCAGTGTACCTACTCTACTTTCTGTACTCACCAGTGGAGAATATCACCCCCAAAATGACGCCAAATAGGAAAATTGCTAGAACATCATTACAGCTTGTCATAGCGATGATTAATGTGTGAATTCCTTTATTCATGCCAAGACGCTCTTCCTTCAGGCGCAGCAGCACGGTGACGACAACGTTCGGTGAAATTGCTGTTACCACCAAACTGGAACGAGAGGAATTTGATAACAAACAAAAAAAATAAATGAAGGAATTTAAACGACAGGATCGAATACTTCCGGTGCCAATACTCGTGACTAAATGTACAAAGCATAGTGTATGGTCAAAGAACGATTTTAGGCAAAAATAAATAAAAAATTGATGTATGTCATGCATTTTTGACTATTATACTTTATCTTAAATTTTTCAAGTATTTCAATGTTTCGGTTATGGTTCACTCAAAACAATTTACACATTTTTATTGGCAAATTTCCATGTGAAATTCATTTGACCACACATAAACAGAATCCACTCAGAAGTACACATGAAATGTATACGTCAAATGAATAGTATGTGTGGTCGCGCATGGTTTTCATATGTACACATATTAAGTATGTGTCCGACACATAGATATCATTTGTTGCTAACATTGCAACAATTATTATGTGGGACACATAAAAACAATATTTGATAATTTGATAGAGATGTTGGTTCAATATTTTTCCGGGAATTTACTCTCCTTTGGTTTGTTTTTAACGTCGATCTTGTTTTCCGTGCTGAGCACCAATGCTACCGACGTGCCAGGAAGGCAGCTCCCACACCTGGACCCTGCCTATCGACCCATCAACTCATGAACCGAGGACCAACGGCTTTACTTCCCATCCGAAGGAAGGCGTGATCAGAGATGTTATGCCTCAGAACATCCCGGCGGCGCCGACTGGGAGTGAACCCAGGCCTGCTGGGGTGAGAGGTAATCACGCTTACCACTACACTACCGGCGCCGTTTTTCCCGGGAATTTAATAAATTATGAAAATTCAAATGTGGGGCCTAAACAAACCGTTATATATTTTGGCGTTGAAAGAACTGTTTGAATTCCATTATATGCAATTAAATTTTAATATCAACTCTTTCAATTTTATGTGTGGCCTTTAAAAGGGCCGTTTGATGTTGTTGTTCCGTTGGATGATGTTGATGATATTTGTCCCTCCTGATCATCGTGATCGTCAAAGTCCCTGTCTTTTTTTGGGTTGTCGTTATAGGGGGTGGAGGGTGTTTTACACATATAACTTTTCCACGTTTCATTTTAGTTAAACGGGAACCAAGTATTATTCCAGCCCATCGCTGGTTGTGAGAAGGTGATCACGTCGTGATCCACTTTTACCCGCCGACTTGCTCCTGCTTGCTGCACAACCAAGTGCCACGCCGTCCGAAGCGGTAATGAGCAGAGACACGTAGTAGTAAAATTTACGTTTATATTGTGGTTTTTTTTTTCTGTTCAACATTTGGTTTAACATTTCAATTGGTTTGGCTCTTCATCTTTGTTCTAGTTTATTGGTTATTCTAATGTGATGATTGAGTTTAGCGCTAATGGACCACTTTGTCAAACAGTTTTACCGTGACTTTCTACCAGCGATTTCACAGAATTGGGCCAACAAATTACTTTTTTACTATGAAACACACTACTTTTGGCTACTTTTCTCGTGGTTCGAGAAGAAACCCCTTCAAAATATTGTGTTATTTCAAAGTTCGAGTGGTAGGAAACATCATTTTAAACTACTCGAATTAAATGGTTAATTTACAGGAAACCCTTTTAAGGGCTTGTTTTCTTTGAATTAAAAAAAAAAAAATGATAACCTATCTACTTGAGCTCAGGAGCCTACTTAACTACTTGAACTAGGTTGCCAAATCACGAATGATCTGGTGGTTTGATCGCAGACAGGTGACTCTGAACCGTTCCAGCGTGGAAGTTTTTCGCTCCTCGAGTGTTTGAAGACCAGTGTTTGAAGATCTGGTGAATCTCAGAATTACGAGTTCGCGGTGGACTGTTAAGGATCATTCTGAGGATCTTGTTTTGGATCCTCTGAAGCTTTAGGTGGTGGAACTCAGCACAGCTCTCCCAGATTGGCATACCATACTCAATAGTCGGCAGAATGATCTGCTTGTGAACAACAAGCTTGTTTTTGAGGGACAGGGTGGACTTCCTGTTTATCAGAAGGTAGAGCGACCTGATCAAGATGTTACACTTGGTGGATGTCTTGTCCACATGGGATCGGAATAGCAATTTGCTATCGAGGGTGAGACCAAAGTTGACTATTTCACTTCCCAAGTAACATAGTGGTTTTAAAGCATGCTACAAGTCTAAATCACGGTCTACAGAACCCTTATAAAACCAAAATTGTTACTTGGGTTGACCATTCAATGGGAGTGCTATCAACATGGATCTTGACGTTAGCAGGCGGAACAAGCCGAGGTGAATTCGAGTGCGGAAACAGAATGGTTTGTGTTTTAGCTGCATTGATACAAATCTTCCAGCTCTTGAAAGAGTCGGACAGAACATCCAGGCCTGATTGTAGTTTACTCGCCAGAGCACGGATCACTCGACCCTTATAGATGATGGAGGCGTCATCTGCGAACATCCTAAACCTTCCTGCTCTTTGAGAAAGATGTTATGTCCATATAAGATGTTGCTGCGCAATGTGAGGACACAAAACAGAATAGGGAGAGGCTCTAAATCGATTTCAGACGCCATTTTAAAATCCAAGATGTCGGTCATCGATTCAAGAAAAAACTGTAAAATACCCTACAATATGGGTATTTTGGAAAAGGAACGACGTGAGAGGCTGAAAATCGATGCCAGACGCCATTTCGGAATCCAAGATGGCGGCCATCGGTTCAAGAAAACAGTCAAATACTCTACAATAAGGGTATTTTCGGAGAGATGATGACGTGTAGAGGCTGGATATCAATTCAAGTCGCCATTTTGGAATCAAAGCTGGCGGCCATCGGTTCAATAAAAACTGTTAAATTCCAAAATATGGGTATTGATTTTGGATAGGGAACGACGTTTAGAGATCAGATATCGATGCCAAACGCCATTTTGAAATTGAAGATGACGGCCTTTGCTTTAACGTAAACTATTAATGGGGATGACGTGTATAGGCCAAAGTCGATGTCTGCCACCATTTTGCGATCCAAAATGGTGGCAATTGGCTTTCAAAGGGACATTTAGTGTTTAGTGTGTTAGGGTACTTTGGAGCTCAAAATCTTGCCTCGCATTAATTTTCCTGAATAATGCTTACCAAGCATATTGCGTATGATTTGTATAATGTTTATAACGTATCATTGAGCAAGATGACAACGTTCCGACTTCCCTTAGCATATCTTGGATTTTTGCACTCTGTTCGACATTAATGTCCAATGTGCAGATGCTTTAGAACTCGGAGAGCTGATTTATTTTGAACTCGATTTCTGCCGTGGTGGGATGAAAATATAATCCAGAATTCAATATAGATGGGTTCAGTTCGCTAACAATTTCATCTGCTGTAGCCGGTGTATCTCTTATGATTTCGTTGATTTCACCATGTTTCTTATCCCCGGTGCACCAAACTTTCCGTGAATTTGTTGAATTTCGGACATGATCTGCAAATTCTCGTTGTCGTCTTCATTGCATTGTGAATTCGCGAAATACGACGGAAGAATTTCCTTCAAGCAGTTTACCAACGTGCTTTGTTTTAGGTGCTTTAGAACCACATCCAAGCAGTCGAAACAGTTCTTGATGCTGAACTACTTTCGTGTATCCGCTAGTGAAAGGCCTTCATTCTCGGCTGTTTCCAGAATAAAACTGTAGCTTCTCTTGACATACTTCAGCTTGAAATTTTTTATGTTGCCGCGATCAAAGGGTTGAATCAAAGACGGGATTTTTGGTGGCATGTATAGAAGCATTATGTTGGTATTGCTTATGGTGGGAGGATGCAACGGAGCGTTATCAAGAAGCAGCAAAGCCTTGAAACTAACGTTCTTGGCTGCACAAAACTCCTCCAACTGTGGTGAGAGGCAGTCGTTTATCCAGTCCTCAAATAATTCTCGGGTCATCCAACCTTTCTTGTTGACACGATAATGCCCAGGAAGATTTGCTTCCTGTAAATTTCGCTTTAGAGAAAAACCCTTATTTGTCCCCTTTCGGTCCTTGCATTGTTTTCTGATGCTCTGAGACATAAGATCTTTGAAGCATTTTTTTTTTTTTTTTTTGTGAAATAGTTTTGTTTCATCTCAGGTGAACACTTGGTTAAGGCAATACTGAACACTTTCAATTTCTTATTTAACCAACGATCAAAAGGCATCGATTTCTGGACTCTACACGTCGTTCCCTTTCCGGAAATACCTATATTTTATAGTATTTGACAGTTTTTCTCGAACCGATTGTTACCATCTTGGATTACAAAATGGCGTCTGGCATAGATTTACAGCCTCTACACGTCGTCCCCTATCCGAAAATACCCATATTGTAGAGTATTTCACAGTTTTTCTTGAACTGGTGGTCGCTATCTTGGATTCCAAAATGCCATCTGGCATTGATTTCTGGCCTCTACACGTTATCCCCTATCCGCAATACCCATATTGTAGGGTATTTGATAGTTTTTCTTGAACTGATGGCCGCCATCTTGGATTCCAAAATGGCGTCTGGCTTCAATTTTCGACCTCTACACGGCATCCCTTTTCCGAAAATACCCATATTGTAGGGTATTTGACAGTTTTTCTGAATCGATGACCGTTACCTTGGATTTTAAAATGGCGTCCAAAATCGATTAACAACCTCTCCCTATTCCGTTTCGTGTCCTCACATTGCACAGCAACATCTTATATGGACAAGCTTTCCATACATAACCTATTAAGGAAGTTCATGTGCACACTAGTGAGAGAGTTCTTAAATAATATAACCACCATTCGAAGCCTCCCTTAGCTCAGTCAGTAAAGGCGCAACTACAAAGCAAGACCATGCTGGAGGTGGCTGGGTTCGATTCCCGGTCCGGTCTAGGAATTTTTCGGGTTGGAAAATTTCTCGACTTCCCTGGGCATAGAAGTATGATTGGACTTGCCATACAATTATACCAATGCAAAAATGGTACAGGCATCGAAAGCTCTCAATTAATAACTGTGGAAGTGCATGAACACTAAGTTGAGAGCACGCAATAAGCTAATATGCGATATGCAATAAGCTTGAAATGCGAAGAAGAAGAAGAAGACCATTCGAAGACAGTAACCTTCTATATGCCCAGGATTTTGAGATACAGCTTATATAGCAACCTCATGTGCACACTAGCGCTGAGTAGTGAGAGTATGCTGAGCTAATATGGCCACCATCCGAAAGGACTTGGTCACTGGAACAACTTTGCTCAAGACAGTAACTTTCTATATGGCCAGCATCACGAAATATTATATGTTGGACCTATGATCCAGCGCCCGTCATAAGTAACATAAAAGTGAATAGAGGCGCTAGTGGCGTAGTTCCCGATTAAACCTAAATCCAATGACACAGGCTTGTTGGTCTATTCAAGTACAACAACTTTGTGCAAGACAGTATAGCTCTTTAAATTGAAACAAACGAGATAATCCACCACCACCCCTATTAGTGGAAATCCCATAAGCTGTGGGTATCCTTATTAACGGTTTATTATTCACGCCCCCGTTTCCCCGGCAATAAGGATTCCTGACTGTAGTACTCGATTATGACGACTGGGTTTAGGAAAAACGTTTATTTCATGAAAACTAGTCTTCAAAGTGCAGCTGATGTGCAAACAGGCTTTTGCACTTACCTGTGCATTCACTCTATGTTCACGCATGAGCTCAGGCATGCTTGGCATACACAGTTTTGCTCGCGAACTGCTCATTTGCTAATAATTTTGCACAGAGTTGACGAAACATAGTTCTGTTTGATACAGTCGATAGAATAGAGTTTGAGCTTCTTATAGATAGGTTAAAAAATGTGATTTTAATTCTAGTAATAAACTGTATTTGATTTTGCGTTGTGAAAATGAAGTGAGAAATGAACTTTAAGTGTAAAAATTCATTGGTGTTGATTCAAATTATAAGATTTACCTACTCTTTGTATGTCTAAAGTAAACTATGATCCAAATCTATCAATTTCTTTAATCAAAACTATATTTCCACATTATGGAGGCGAACCAGCCTCAGGGTGAAAGCCTCCTAAATAAAGATAAATCAATCAATCAATTTCCACATCTGAGTGAAAAGCTATTAACAAATGAGAAGTTGGTGTGTATAACTGTGCATGCCAAGCATGCACTCAGGCAAATAAACTTGCACACCAGCATGAGTGCAATGTTTACGTTCGAACATCGTTTGCTTCAGTGTTTGAAAAACATCGTTCGTAATCAAGCGCTCGTGTGACTGGCAAACGCGGTACATTTTCAGCGTGGTGGAAAACAAATTTTTATCCGAATATCTATTATTGGAAGAAAGTTATTGCTGGTAGCGACTGTTATTGTGAAGCTATCATGCGCTATCAGCTATCAGCTGCCATACGTAAATTTCAACAAATCCCATAAATAATTCTCCTACTGGTTATTTGATGTAGTGTTTCACAATTATATGAATTTGGTAATTTGGTTCATTAAATAATTCAATAAATAAATTTCTACTAAACCTTGACAAAAGAAGTGAACGAACGTTGACGTTTAGTATAGAGGACGTTTCAAATATGTCGTGCACAATATTTTCAAATTGTTAACCCCCCTTATGTTACGCATCTTTCCATACTTATCATGTAAGGCCCCTCCCCACTTTTAGTTCCCTCTGCATATCGTTTTACTCCAGTTCTATTGATAAATGATGAAGCATTCGGTTTTGATACGGTCAGTCTTGTTTTCATAGCAAGGAACCGATTTTAATTGAAATGTTTGTCCCGTTTGTCAGACAAAATCGGATTCCTAAGTAACAAAATCAAAAAATGACACCGATATTGACCGTGCATCAGTACCCTAGTCTCAACCACTTCACCAAATGCACTGATGTGCATTACATTAGCATTCTCTCATACACACACCTCAACAACGTTTATGTTCGCCCATCGTTTGCTTCAGCGTTTAAAAACATCGTTCGTATTCGAGTGCAGCAGACAGGCGTTGGCGTTGGAAAGAATGGATGACATTTAAAAAAAATTATAAAAACGGAATAATTCAAGCTCGAACCATGAACTTTGAGTGTATCAGAATGGCATGTTCACCTCTCGTCTGTTATAACTCTGAAAGATGTGGCGTATAAGAAGCCTTGCCTTGCCTTCAGGTACGAAGTATCACGTTCGATGTGCAGAGTACACCTGAATTCGAAAGGTAACACGCGCGCTCAATGAACGTGCACTGACGAGATTGAAACTCAAGCTTACCGCCGTCTATATTTCGTGAAGACTGATGCAAACAGAGATAAAATTATCATTTGTACATTTTTCAAATGTTCTTATGGAAAATTAAAAAAAAAATATTTAATTCAGCAGATTTGTAATGTAATATCCTATCGATTGGCGTATTTGGATTTTATTTTCATCTCTAAATGGCAATGTTACAAGCGTTCAAAACCCAACACTATTTCACCACACATACGTAGTTCTACATCAAAACCCTTCTTTCCTAGGTACCATAATCGAACATTAACATTGCAGCCCGAATTGATTTCCAGCGGAGTAGAGTAAAGTATGAACATTCCGCCCACCAGTAGCGGTGCAATCTGTTTAATGCACTTAATGCATCGTCAAGCTGAAGTTTTTTTTTCACGTCTTGCACATACCATTCCTTAAATTCTACTATGAAGCTTTCAAAAATCAAGAGTACCGAAGGCGAAAGCAGGAGGTTTTTTTTTTCATTACTTCCTATTCCTTTTCGGGAAAGGGTGAGATGGAAAAACCTTTCTTATGTCAATTTTTTCAGTGACCTGCTAGTTGGACAAAAACTATTTTATTTTTTTCTCTTTTCAATTTTCTGCAACGGAAACCTCTTTTAATGTGGCTTTCAACACAATTGCTATTTCCATTAAGTTTCTCATCACTATTTTTCTTCTTCCTTCACGAACGAGCGCAAAAAAAAACGCATTTAAAACCAAATTAAAGGATTTCTCCTCGGTGGTTATTCCGCACATGCTGGTGGCTAGGCTGCTGCCGGCCGATGGTGGTCAGCTGAGATCCATCAAAGGGGAATGAATTTTATCCGAATAGAACCTATTTACCAAGCACCCCGTCCATCTTCGTTTGCTATTAAGGCCACCCACCAGCATCACAAAAAGGGATGATTTTTTTTTTATTTCCCACAACGCTTATTTCGTAGGTACTTACCCCAACAGTACACCCCAGAGCCATGGTAAATCCAGCAGGTATCTGGACAGCACGGTGATTGCCACCACCTCGGCCACCGTCGGGATCAGGGTAAGCTGCATTATGAAACGAAAGAGTTTCTTCAAGGAATCATAGTCCAAACCGAGACCAGCCAGCAGCATTATGTTGACGAGGGCCATTTCTCTGCAAAGAAAAAGAATGTGTTGAAAAGGTTTCAGGAAGTAGCATCGGTCAGAAGTGGGATGTGCAATTTTTTTTTTTTTTTTTATTTCATTATGCTTCATTTGCTGTGAGGTGATAGGTTTTAGTATATTTACGAATAGATGAGAATCATAAGAGGTCCCAGAATGAAGAATTCAAATTGTTTGCAGTATTTTTTATAAATGAGTTTATCGATGAATTTTATGAAAAAGTGCATACACTTTTTTTTTCTTACGTTTTTTTTTAATAAGGCTCAAATGTCAATAAGACTCAACGGAGCCGAATGCTATGAACAAATAGACAATTTATTTTAATTAGGAAGCACTTTTTTCTTTTCCTTGTGCATTAGCTGCTCTAAATAGGCGGCATCAATCCTCCTCTTGTTCTCCTCGATCAATGCACACCGTTCTTCTGGATCTTCAATGTGTGAAACATCTGGAATCCTATAAGGGCGCTGCATATAGGGACAAATATCACCACTGGGATCAAGCTGCTATCGCTTTCGGTGGAGTCGTTTGCGTTCAATTTTTTCGTTACATTGTTCGTAGTGTCCGAGTCGATCGATCTTTGGCGTTTTGTTTCAGTTTTATTGTTGTGCTGTTGCTCTGCAGTAGGTGTTGGTTTGGAAAGAGAGGGCCACTGCTTACTGTTGGCTGCGCTTGATTGTTGTTTGTTGACTGTTTGACTGTTCACGCTGTTACTGTTGTTGATGCTTCTATTCTGTTGATCAGTTGGGGGATTATTGTCCTCGTTTGCAGTTGCTGTTGCCACCTTAGAGCAACGTTGTTTGGGATGGGATTTGCGCCCGCAATTACGGCATGTTTTTACCTGATTATGGTAGGATACCATCGTAATTTCGTCGTCGACGGCTATGTACGATGGGATGGGGAGAGTAAGCTTAATTTTGACAACGCGTACTCCATTACTAAAGCCTGGAAAATAGCTTTTCCAGACTTCGCTTCTAATGGCTATCACTTCACCATACTGACGCATATGATCAATGATAGCCACATTATCCATGTCGTCCGGAAGATCATGCAAGCGCACGTCGACCGCACTGCTCTCGACGTAAATTGGAATCAAGATCTTCTTCCTGAAGCGATTCTTTCTGCCACTACGTCACTTTTCATACCCAAATACACAACGTTCTTGACATTATGTGGCTGGATACTTTTCACCAGTGACATGTCGAGCTGCAGCTCATTATCCAAGAAATTTTTAATATCTGAGATACACGATCGCTTCGGAAGAATTGATGTGTCGAACACGACACAATTTGCTCTTAAAGCCCGCATGGCAAAAAAACACACGCGCGTCGCACAAAAGATGCTCGAAAGTATTGTCTGGTGATACAACCTTCAATCAGTCTGAGAGATGGATGGCGTTGTTTTCAAGTGCATACACTTAAAAATAGCAATTTTATACAATACAATGGAACGCGAACTGACGAATAATCAGCAAACCCTTGATTCAATAAGTTTTAAAAGTCCATTAATGGTTGCTTCACAGTACTTTTGTTAAAACTTTAAAGTTACAGCATTAGATGGTTTCATTTCTCCAGTTCGAATGAAATCTCGAACCTTCCTCTTGTTGGAGCCCATCAACGCCCGTACAGTGGAAACGGACACGGTATCAGCGAATTTCATCCCTTTCCCCGCATTTGCTGGATGTCCTGAAATGAAATTGCCCAGTATTTTTCGATTGGTCGAAATTCCGGGCAATTCGGAGGATTGATTAGCTTGGGGACTAAACCGATCTTGTTGGCAGCATACCACTCCAAAACCACATTGGAGCAGTGGCAGCTGGCCAAATCGGGTCAAAAGATGACTTTGCACCTATGCTTGCGGATGAACGACAATAAAGACTGGAACGCGCAAAAATTGGTCGACAAAAAAAATCTTTTCTTGCAATCAAAATTCATATCACAAAATTTTTCTTATGTTTCTTTTGGTAGTTCAATTCATATATTTAAAGGATAAAATGTTCGTTTATTCTTTTGGTTTGCCAAATCTGAACTGCCGTGCCTTCCGCTTAACCCCTTCCATTAAATTATGCACAGTGGTCTCATCGACCTTATTCGCCACCGAACGCCAGTTAGATTTAAACTGCTGCTCGTTTTCCATGGACTTATTTTTTTTTTTTTTTTAGATTCCGTTTGATCAAGGCCCAATACCGTTGGATAGGGCGGAGTTCTGGGCTGTTGGGATGGTTGTGGTCTTTGGGTACCACAACCACGTTGTTCGCATCGTACCACCCGATTGCCTTTTTCCCATAGTGGCAGGTCGCCAAGACAGGCCAGATCAGCACAGGTTTATTATGTTGCTTTAGGAATGGTAGCAGCCGCTTTTCCAAGCACTCCTGGAAGATCTCTTGATTGATGGTTCCCGTAGTAATGGAAATGCCGCTTTTTAGACCACACGTGCTATGGCCTGCCAGACGAGATATTTTTTCGAGAACTTCGATAGTTTGATGGTTTTGAAAATTTCAGCCACCTTCCCTTTTCCTGATGCGGTAAAAAAAACTCCTGTCCCGGAAGCTGCTTGAAATCCGCCTTCACATAAGTTTCGTCGTCCATTACGACACAGTCAAACTTTGTGAGCAGATTCGTATACAGCTTTCGGGACCGCTGCTTTGCCGACGTGTTCGCGTTTGTAATCTAGGTTCGCCACCTTCACCTTCTTAAACGTCGACAACCCGGCTCGTTTCTTGGCCCGCTGCATAGTAGTACACACTTAGATTTTTTCGCCGAGATGGGCACCACCGAGCAGCTCGGCATTTTATTTTGCTGGATCTCAGTGAAAAATTTGCCGAGATTCAGCTAACAAACGGGAATTTTGCCGAGATCTCAGCTAACAAACATATTTTTTGCTGAATTTCCAGCAAAATAAAATGCCGAGCTGCTCGGTGGTGCCCATCTCGGCGAAAAAATCTAAGTGTGTATGGGGGACATTGAGCTTGCCAGCGATATCCCGGATGCAGAGGTTAGGATTCCGCTTATATTTCACCACCACCTTCTTCGTCGTCGCTGCCACGTCCGGATTACAATTGCCGCCGCTTCCAGGCTTTCTGGCGGTCCACAGACGCTCCCCGAATACTTTTAAAACGTTTGTCACGGTCGACTTGGCTACATCCAGCAATTTTTCCAACGTCGGATTCTCTTGCTGCGCGAGCAAAATGTTGATACGCTGCTCCTCTTGCTTGGACGTCATTTTGAAAACTGGAGAGCAAACGGTGAACACTCATCATAGCAACCATTGTATATCCACTCAACTTCCAAATTCAGCATTTCAGGTTTTTTATGCATTTTTAACAGAAATAGGGGAAATGGCTCTAATGTTGGCCTATGGATCTAAGTTTGGGCCCATCGCTAAAAACCTGCTATTTATCAATCGTATCTAGATGAACACGTCATTGAGACGGTACTAATGAATATTTTTGGTTGCTAATGAAAATTTAGTTGATTGCTGAATTTATGTATGGGCCCGAATTAGGGACACTTAGGCCGACATTGCATACATTTCCTCTACACCAATTTAAAGTTGACCAATGTTTGCGTGTGCCAGACGTTTTTCATGCATTCTTCGATGTAAACTTGCGATGTCATGGTCGAGGATGTGAAGAATGGTTCCGTTTTCAGGCCACAACTGCAATTCGCTTGCCAAATCATAGCCTTCTTCGCGAACTTGTCGGCAAACACGAATTTGAATCTTCCCGGCACATCCCCACGTCCAGCCGCTATGTAAATTTTTTGACCGGGAAGCTCCTTAAAATCGAGTTTGACGTATGTTTCGTCATCGATCAAAGTGCAGCCCTTGTGTTTCATCAAAACACGGTCGTACAAGAGCCTTGCATGCTTTTTGACCAAAGAATTCTGCTTCATGTGCCGGTTCAGATGTTTACTGGCTTTGTACGACTTCTTTCCTTCCCTGACAAGAATGTTCCGCACCGTTTAAAAGTTGGCGTTGTACCTTCTGGCCACATCTCGGATCGAAAGACCGGGCTGGCTTTAACGCACCTCAACACCTTGCTGCGTAGCTGACGATCCCTGGTTCCAATTATTTCGTAGGTCCATTGATTCTTTCCACACTCAGGGTTTTCTTGTAGGTTTTGAACACTCGAAAAACTGTTGTTTTCGGCATCTTTAACATTTTAGCCAGCTTGAAACCGACCCGGACTTTTTTGACGTAGGACTACGTTTTTAATTTCTATATTGGCGGAAACATTTAAAAAAAATTAAAATTTAGACATGTAACGAAAAATCCCAAACACGGACGCAACGATAGAGCGCAAATCGAACAAACGACACATTGCGCATGTTCACATGAGCAAGCTCAATGCTCGGTTGATCGCTCACCATTTCACCAATGAAAGGAAGGGAGGAGAAAAGCAGCGATAATAAAAACGCCTGCCAAATCGTTTTCTTCGTCACAAAGCAATCCCTCCAAGGTGGTCATACTCTAAAATAGGCCTGATAGGACTAGGAACTGTAAATAATAATTAAAACTTCAAATGTACTAAAGTTGAAAAGACGCATCTTGAAAATAAATACATGTGAACCAAACAAATACAAGAAATAAAGATCATTTAAATTCTAAGTTTTCTTTGTCATTTGCTTTCAAGCAACGGACGGAAAAGCGTCGAACATGACGTATGAGTAACAGTGCGCATCGCATTAATACAAAGACGACGCAGTGTAGCCACATTGTTTCATTTTCAATCTGTATTTTCACCGTAAAAAATCTTTTTAATCCGTTTCTGGCTGACAAAAATCTTTAAAATAATCGGTATAAATTCTATAGTATGATCTTATTGTGGATCGTAGAAAATATACTTTGAGTTCATTTGAAGTTCAGAAATAAGAAGAATAACTTAAGCTTGTTTTCTAAAAAATTAATCCTCGTAATCCTGAATCTTGTTTTTTTTTAATGATTTTTATCTTTTCTAAAAGTCTAAAAATACAAAAAATCAAGTCTCAGTAATGAGAGACAAAACTGAAAAAATGAAACAATCATGATTTCTTAAAATTTTAATTTTGTATGCCCGACATTTCGGAAATCTTTGTCAGTTGATTTGTTTCTTTTTTACTCGAGAATTTTTGAAAATGAAAAATAAGCATTAAAATTTTATAATACTTCATAAAATTTAATTCTTATTTTTCATTTTCAAAAATTCGTTGTAAAATGTTATGCTCGATGTTTAATTTTATCACATTCTTCTAATCAAAACAAATTTCAACTTTATCTAATCTTTTGGCAGATGAAATATGTTTTATATTATAGGTATTCATATGTTTTATCAACTTTAATTTATTTTATCACAACACATAACTTTTATTTGGATGTTTAGTAGAATTGCATAGAATATTCTTTGTTTCTGATCAGAAGCGTCAGAAGTCCGTTCAAAATTAACGAATATAATAAAATAAAAAAAGGGAAAAATTGATATTTGGTTAAGTGCTTGTACCTACTCAAAAGGAAGAAAGGATTATTCATGGATATTAATAAATACAATCCAGAGTTAAACATATATTCCTCTTATTTGAAAAATCTGAAAAGTCAGTAGGACGACTTCCACCATTGGAAAAACAACCGGCACTTTTCAGGACCACCAATTCAAAAACGGAAATAGTTATGAACTAAATGATCAACATATTTGTTCCGTCCACTAGCAGTCTTACGTTAAGCCACCATTCGTGCTCCAGCGTGCTCCTAGGCACAGACCCTTCTATTTTTTTCTTCTTTCGAATTCCATTTGATGTAATTTCCGAGCGCGATAAACTACTTTGATCAAACTTCTTGCACCAGTTGTTCTTTATAGAAGTGTAAACAAACCACTGTCAAAGATTTCCGATTCCCAAAACTAGAGGCGTGCTAGCGGCACGCAAGGGGCGTACCAATTTAATCCTACACTCTAAGCTACGATTACCTAAAATTATAGGTAAAAATTATCGGTATTTTTTAAATACCGTTAAATAAAATCGTTACTTTTTACTTGAAATAGGATATTTTTTACCATAAATAAGGTCATTTTTAACGTTAATTATTGGCCGGTGCCGGTGGTTTAGTGGTAAGCGTGACTGCTTTCTAACACCCCAATGGGTCTGGGTTCAATCCCAGCCGAGGTCGGTGGGGTTTTTCTGAGGCATAAAAATCTCTGGTCACGTCTTCCTTCGGAAGGGAAGTAAAGCCGTTGGTCCCGGCCCATGTATGTTGAATGGGTGTGATATCCTACACAGGTGTGGAAGCTGCCTTCCTGCACATTCGATTGCCATCAATGGATGGCAATCGATGTCCGTCGGTGATTGGCACTAGATTGCGGAACAGAGACCGACGTTAAATAAAAGAAAGAAGAACGTTAATTATTGGTAATCCATGATTACCGATAATTTAGGTATGTGCACTTTCTTCGATCATCGGTAATTTTTACCGATATCTAAGTATTCTTTACCGACTTTTAGGTATGTGCATCGTAGCGTGTAGTCAGCCTTTATACAACATCACGCCAACATGGCCCTGTTCCCTTTTTTCAGTCTGACTAAAACCAAATCTTTACTACTTTGAGAGAAGTTGTCTTGTGTTCTGTTTTGTTACTTTGACCCCTATACACAAGTAATTATTTGAAATATTTTGATCTTCTCATCATTTTTTCATAGCAGTACCTACTACAACTTAGTCGAAGAAATTACAATTCAAACAAATTTTTGTCAGGAAAATAAATTAGTTTTTTTATGATGAATTTTCACAATTCCGAAGTGGGGAGAATTGGGCGTAATTGCTTTTTCAAACAAACGTCAATCGCCGATTTCATGCAATTTTAGGCAACAATGAGATTGAGAAAGTGAGGTTTTATTCGCGAGAAATCGGTGATTGACGTTTTAGTTTACAAAATCACTTATGCCCTTTGTATGAAATATTATTATGAAGAAACATTTTGGATTAACTCGATAGTATAGACACAAACTTAATACTATTGCCATCTGTGCAATGGGCGGCTGGCCTTACACTTTTGAACATTTATGATTAACTCAAAACGACTCAACCAATTTAAAAAATCATCTGTGAAAGAATCAAAAGACTTCTTAAAGTATGTATCATTAAAATCGGGTATTTTCTGTTCATCCACGTTTCATTTATCTTTGTTGTATAGAAATCTCACCGTGTAGGGGTGTAAGAACTGTAATCAATTCCAATCGTGGAAATTCATATTTAGCAGCTAGTTTTCCCCATGCTTACCTGAGAAAAACTTCCACCTTTTGCAATCCTTGGAAGTCTGCCCAGCCAACGTTGGTATACAGCACGCCCCAAAACAGCATTCCCAGCATATCGGGCAGCCCAGTCAGCGAAACCAGAATGCCACTGATTTGCGCGCCGATGAAGAGAAACCACAGCCTCATAAACGGTGTGTCCGGATCGGTGAGTTGCCTGGGAAGCACCGAATACGCAACTCCCCAGAGCAGGAAGAATATTGCCAACAGAGCCAACGGCTGTGAAACAATGAGCCAATTTCTAGCGAAAAAAGACTTACCCGAGCTTCTGTGGGGTTCAGCCCAAAACCACACACGCGGGTCACATGTGGCATCCAGAGAAACACATTCGAAACCGATGAGATCCCAACGGTGAAAGAACATGGAAGAGTAGAGAAAATGGAGAAAAACTTAATCAACTGCTTGTGTGTGCATATGAGTAGCTCATATCCGGAACTGGAGGAATCGGATGTTCGCCGCGCAAGTGGTTTTGGCGAGGGGTGTCTTGAGCTGTTTGAATGGGAATTTCAAGAGGAATGCGATTTAAGTAATATGTGCTTTGATTGAAATATCATAAATTTATAGCTACATGAAAATTACGATACAACTTGAAATTATTTTCAAAAATACTTTCACATCCCTCGACTATCTGTCATGAAACGATAGAATGACGTAACAACGATTAAGTCTATTGGCAATCCGAACTTTTTTTAATGGGTAAATTTATTCTTCTTTAATCGATAAAATTTGCAAACCTCCTCTAGTGCTACGTTTAAAAATACAATATGAGCATAATGGCGTTTACGTCAATTTATCATTTCGAGGCAATATTGCGTGCCACTAGGTCGGTACGTGAGTAGGTATATACGTTTTTTCTGTCCATTACTTGTCAATGTGTTCAGCACTCTGTTGTATTTCCAATCCATTACACACGCCAGGCAGCGACGCGTTTATCTGCTGTGTCTCCTCCTGGTCATACCCATAGCCCGTGTGGTCAAGCTGCTGATGTTTGTTCAAAGACATGGTTAGATCTATCGAAGGAATTGGTTGCTGCTGAACGTCTGCCGAATGAGGCAATAGTTCCACCGGGACCGGTGATGCTGATGCTGCTGGCTGATGATTGGCGGCCTCGTCTACTGACGTGATGTAAACTGCGGAGGGAATAAACAAGAGAGAAAGAAAGGATCGTTTTCAGTAAAGTGCAAATACATGCAGGATACGTATATTCCGAGGCTCAGAGCAATAAAAAATCTTTTAGGGAATGGATACCTTTTCGATTCTTCATTATTTCGGTTAAATTTGGCACGGTGACGTCACGAGAACAGCAGACTCGACAAGTATATTGGAAGCCACGATAACGTGGTATCTCGCCGTGTTCCACGAGTGAGTAATCACTTCTTAACTACTTCGAAATTTTTGCTAGACAAGAAAGAAACTGCCGAGAGATTACACATCGAAGATTGAACTCGTACACATTGTTGAAACTGAGATCTCGCTCTAAATTAGCAGAGGGCTTTTGTAAATATTACCTGAAAAATACATCCATAGATAGTGTATTGAAAGGCAAATATGTATCATATCTTGGATGCTGTTGCCAGGTAATATTCCATGCTTGTTGAAATGCGCTTATAAATTGTGAAAATACAGCTCTAGGTGGTTCTAGTAAACGATATACTCATTTGTTATTCTATTGACTTTCATTGATTTTCTTCACACAGTATTACACACTTTATTCCTCTAAAATCCAATTTACTTGAAGTCGTGTTATAAGATTACGAACACGCACAAACAAAAATATGTTCCCGTCAAATATGTAAAATGAGTCCCATGCGAACCCGACCACCCGTTCCGGAACGGTTTGATCTGGGCCGCAGCAACAAGCAGACTGTCAATATTGACGCTATCAATTAATTTAACTTTGTGCGTTGTTGGTTTATCAGTAGCAGATTGTGTATCTTTTGGTGCAGCCGATATGACGTTATTTTTAAGAGTTGAATTTGCTCTTAATATTTAACATGGAAAATTAATTTGATGCAATAAAATAATAATTAAAATTATAATCCTCAAGACGATCTAGCTTCTATGCGTATTTTGATAGGGGGCTGTCCATTCACTAAGTAGCCATTTTTGAAGAGACACTCATACCAACATTGTTTTGTTAATTTATATGAACCATACACACTCGCCATTCCCCTCTTAAGTGCCTACATGATTTATGACTAGCCCGTAAATACAGCGTATCAATATCTCTCGGTGTTAAAAAATACATCTTCACCAGTTTTCTCAGTGCCCCATCATATGCATATATTTATGGTTACAATGGAAACATAGTTCATAACGAAGATAATTTGCAAAGCCTTTACCATAAACGTAAATTTTAATCAGGCGAGCCTTTCTAACATGAAGAAAAATATAATGGATTACCGATGGCAGTCAGTTCTAATCCCGTTGAATTTAATTCGGTGATTTTTTTTTTGTTTATTAATTTATTTGATAAGGCTCAACCGAATTAACTTAACAGAGCCGAGGATTCAATACATCTTAAAACTATAGTCAAAAGGTACAACGCAATAAACACTTTATCTTCCGCTATCCAAAAAGCCTCCTCAATCAGAACTGGAGCCGCTTCCAGTAGTTTCATTGTGTGGCAAATTGTTGTTCGCCAACGAGGGTCAGAGCGCGTCCATTGCAGCAATGGACGCAAAACGTGGTCAGCACTCACACACTCATCACGAAACGGCTGCTTTCCAAAGCCGACGACGCATCGACCGAAAGAACTACTGATGAAGAACAATGAGGAGGACCACACAATGGTTGCTGCCGAGTAAACAGACGATCGCGTAGCACACATAGAGAGTGGCCTGCTTTTGTCGACAGCCGAGTAAACACTGTAATTCGGTGATTGTAGTGCTATGTCTTGTTCTATCACGCTAATTTTATTCAGTTTTCGTAATAAGGTATGGACACAGGAAATTTTTGTTTTTTTTTCCTTGATTTGTTTTCCGTTGATCTTGTTTTCCGTGCTGAGCACCACTGCTACCAACGCCAGGGAAGCATCTCCCACATCTGGACTCTTCCTAGCGACCCCCATCAACTCATGAACCGGGGACTAACGGCTTTACTTCCCTCCGAAGGAAGGCGTGATCAGAGATGTTATGCCTCAGAACATCCCGGTGGCGCCTACTGGTATTGAACCCAGGCCTGCTAGGGTGAGAGGTAATCTACAGCAAAATTTAGCCAGGCTTCATATTTCCTATTTGTCGAAATACTATACATATATTTCCTATTTATCGATATACTATACAGCCATTGCACATAAAAATGATGTAGCGGTTCTCAGAATTTCGTAAAAATTTGTTGTTTTGTTTCTTATCGCAAAATATTAGACCCGTATTGGTGGTCCAATATATATGAATATATTTTCAAACGACTTTTTTTTTCGCAGCTAATGAACCACTGAGCCGATTCCAAAGATCAAAATATCAAATGAAAGGTTTTTGAAAATATATTATATAAAAAATATAATGATAAAATAAAACTGAGATTTTGTTAAGAAAATTATTGATTGTATTTGGTTTTTTCTCTATGATTTTATGGTTTTCATGGTTTGTTGATAGAGGCCGCAATATGTGTTTATATTTTTCTTTAAAAATTTAAACTTTTTTCACAATAAAAAAAATTACGGATGTGATTCTTTTTTCGTTTTATTAGAGTCAATGTTATAATAAGAGTCACGCCAAGAGTGAAGCCAGAAGTACCAATCGAACTCTCAAGTGGGGTACCAAACAAGCAAAGTAAATAATTATTATTGTTCCAACAGCCAGTGAACTACAAGTATTGCATTCATTACTGACAATATTTTAGTAATTTTAGATGAAAAACATTTCTTCGCGTTATTTAGTATATTGTGGTATTTATAAGTTATACCAAACACTTGTTTGAACATTTTTCAGGTTCTATCATTGTTTTTGCCTCCCAGAAGCTCCGTTATTGACATGAAATGTTTCACTTCTGAATTAAAGTCATACAATGCTAACGCAAAAAATTTGGTTGCCGTTTACTCTGTCGAAAAATAAATCACAAGCAGTGCTGCTTGTTCGCAACATTTTCTCTTGGCGGAACTCTTATTATAACATCGACTCTGCGAGTTGAATTTTTTTGAAGTTATCGTGTTTTGGGTTTTGCTCAATACTCTAGGCTACCATGCGTCTCCATCGATTTTTAGCGTTTGCAGCATGGTCACAACGCATGGTAGTCTAGTCGCATAGGAGTATTAGGCGAAAACTCAAAACTTGATAACATAAAAAAAAACAATAAAAGACACATCGCTGTAGCGCATCTAGCGTAGATTAGCACCAAACGGAATGTTATTATTACAGATGGCTTCGAAATGTATTTACCTTTTCATATGTACCGTTAGTTCTGATAAGGAGTCACGAAATATTCGTTGATTGTTGAAAATGCAAAACTGTTTCTGGCGGCTCAACTTGACTTACGGGGATTCTTGGGCCTATTAGCCATTGAAACGCCATTGGGATTCTCTTTGGCCTATCCAACGGAAAGCAAAATGAATTTGCGTGCACTTTTTGTTCACTTCAAGTGCGCCTTTTGTTTTCGAGATCTTATTTTGCGTTCTTCAACACTTCGTCTTGCATCTATTGAATAGAAGCATCGTAAGGTTTTTGATCTAATTTACGTGCTACTAACCACAACCTGCACCTTTACCTCACTTTTTTGAACGGGTTTTAACAAAAAATTGAATATTTCTGTCAAAGATGCCTTCTAAATTTATTCACCTTTCCATACAAACCGTTGGATTTGATAAAGAGTCACAAATTGTTGAGATACTGTATAAAATAATACTGTTTCTTGATTCTTAATTCGTCCTACGAGTTTCAATTCCATCCTAACGCATTGAAATACCGGTACATTTTCTTCGTCCCACGAATAAACGTAGAATAAGGGGATTCGCTAGTGGGACTTCTTTTGTTTTGAGACCAATGAGCGTAAATATTCATAAAATGCACTCTACAAGGATTTATGTTGTAGCTAATAAACTAACGCATCGAATCAAACCTATTATTGATTTGTGCACGGTAAAATCATTGATATTATTGACCTTTTCTGACCGATAGAACGGAAATGGGCGATTACGACGAAGTAGCGCTCTACCCTACCAAACGTTTGTTTGACACGTTCAAGGCGATTAGGTCGAAGTAGATTTTTCCTCTTCTTGAAATCAACATCGATAACAAAAATTCATTGTTTGTATAACGTCCGAAAATTAAGTTTTGTTAACATCCGAACATAATTTTTAAAATGGAATCGAAGGAACAACATGTGCTTGAACAAAATCTACCCATAACTGTTGAAAATTTGCCTATGTCACATCATGATATAAGCCAGCGCCCATGGTGTAGTGGTAAGCGTGACTGCTTTCTCACCCCAATGAGTTTGAGTTCAATCCCAGCCGAGGTCGGTGAGATTTTTCAGAGGCATAAAAATCTCTAGTCACGTCTTCCTCCGGAAGGGAAGTAAAGCCGTTGGTCCCGGACCATGTGTGTTGAATGGGTGCAATATCCTGCAAAAATAGCACGCAAACTGTTATCAAAAGTGAAAGTCGATAAAGATGATCGATCAAAGCAGATAGGCCCTTTTTCCAGCTCTGTATAGAATTTTGTCCTTTTTGGCAAGTAATATTACACCATATTTTCGATACGGTTGAAGTGCATCCACTTTGATATGATATTAAAATGCCGCCTTGCCGCAGTATATAAATAATATCAAAATTATCTGGCGTATCGTGGCGTGGCGACAACGGCATGTGTGTTATCAGTAAGAAGTGCAAGATTATATCCTTCAATAGCTACATCAGCACAATTATTATTATTATTATCTCTATTTAGGAGATTTTCAGCCGCAGAAACATCAGCACAATTCACCATCAATGGCATATGGACGCAGAAGCAGTTGCACGGGTATGATCAATCTGTGAACTGAGAGTCAACAGCGATTCAAAGCTCAGGATTAGCAGTGTCGGTGGTGTAGCGGTAAGCGTGATTATCTCTCACCCAAAAAGGGCCTGAGTTCAATCCCAGTCAGTGCCACCGGGATTTTCTGAGGCATAACATCTCTGATCACACCTTCCTTCGGAAGGGAAGTAAAGCCGTTGGTCCCCGGTTCATGAGTTGATGGGTCGATAGGTAGGGTCCAGGTGTGGGAGCTGCCTCCCTGGCGTCGGTAGCATTGGTGCTCAGCACGGAAAACAAGATCGACGGAAAACAAATCAAGGGGAAAAAATATGACTAGCTAATATCAAAATAACTTTAAAACACTACGTGCCTAAAACAATTATAAAAATGTATGTTTCACCTTAAAATCTTTAAAATTTAATTATCGACCACAATACAATAACCTTGAAAATGTCCGCTCTCTTGATAATCTTGCAACGATGAAATGATCCTCAAAAAACTAAATAGCAGAAATTACCGTACCCAAGTAACAAATTTAGAGCTGTTTGGCTTTATTCAAAATTTATAAAGGTTTTATTGCAGCTGCAACCATTACCTACAGCTTTATCACGGTCATATACAATGCAAGTCATGAAACATTCTTATAGCTATCTACAAAACCCCTATAAAGCTTATTAAAAAACAAACTGATTCTTATGCTATTTTCATTTATGAAAGGCTTTATGATTGCTTTGAAGTATACAAAAAAGTAATATGAATTGCCCTTATAAAACCAAAAAATAAATTTTTTCGTTGCTTTATAAGTAAGCGCAATAAAACTAGTTGGCCATGAAACAGTTATTTTAAAACAATTATAAGCATTCAGGTGCAACTTGTCAGAAATGGACGTAGTGTGCGTACGAAAAACGTCAGCAATCTCCATGATTCTTCCGTTCTCGCTCGCATATACATGGGGTGACACGGTCGAATCTTGGTCGAAATACATGGAATGGTGACAGTCCTAGAGCAAAAAGGTTGAAATCACGCATAACTTTTCATAAAGGTAAATGTATGTGGCACCATCTTTTCGGAAGAGTTTTGAACTATTTGTTTATGTCGATAGATGGTCCTTATTATGACGAGAAATTTTACCGAAAACACCAAGTCGCGGAAATGCTTCGTTTCGGAGTTATTAATTTTGCTCCGCTAGGTTGCATTCCTGACCCAGTGTGCAATGTAAGCATTAGACATTTTAAGAAATTGCGCTTGGTGTTTTTCTTGCCTGCTGTCCTCTGTCGCCATATTGTCATTATGAAAATGCCATTAGCCTTGGAATAAAATCCAAGAAATTTCAATAAAATAATGGCTAAATAAGAGATCCGAAATGATTTCCAGTGTGCATTGGTATGAATTTATGTATTGAGATCTATTTTCTGTAAAATTAAGGTGATTCCATCAAATTCATTTGATTTCTGAAACAATCATTTTTGTTAACTTGAATTATTTTGGAGGCGCATTTATTTAACGCTCATATTATCTCAATATACACGATAACATTTCAAGCGCATATGTTTTGGAACTTCTAAAAAGTAATATATTTTCTTTAAGATTTTCACTAATGTCGCCATGAAACAAAATTGATTGCATGGTGATCTTGACACCAACACTCAAACCTATTTTTACCGCTTAAGATTTCCATTTGGAAAAAAAGTTTCAGCAGAACAGAACAACAACAAGCTAATTTATGGCGGTTGCTTTGAAGCCAATACAAATTAAATTGGATTTATAACTGATTTTCACCAAAGCGTAATAAAACTGCTTGGATACAATATTACTCTTATAGAGGCTATGAGAACCTTTTGTAGAGTATGAGGCTTCCTGACAAAAGGTTTTAAGACAGCTTTATTGTGATTCTCAAACATGCTTTATAAACCTTATCAAGAGTGGTCCACTAAGCTGTATGACGATCTTATAGCGGTTATTAAAAGGCTGTGCTGGAGCTATTAATTTTATTGGTGGTTTTATGAAATTGATCTCAATAACCACTAATAGAGTGCAATAAAACAAGAAATGCTACTTGGGTAACTTTCAAATCTGAACTTTAAAATACCAAAATGGCATTGAAATCGCTAAAATTTCATGAAGCTTAATGATAGAACAGCCCTGAAATCGCCAAATAACCCACCCTAATAAACATATACCATAAACGAGCTGTATCTCGGTGTACAAATGGTTTGGATGATACCCGAACACGTGATTATTATTGTAATGTAAAATTTAAATTCAGAAATGATTTAAAAACACCAAAATATCGGTAAAGTTATAGTCCCGTTAAAATGATAAATATAATAAAATGTTAATGCTTCTATGAATTTAGCTGAACATTTATTTTAATTTTCACATTTATTTTTTAATTCAACGCGTTTTTACTATGAAAAATATGCAAATCAACAGGTTGCTATTGTAGCTCAATTTAGAAATATCCCATGATAATTTTAAATTCAAATTCGATGACCATCACTACATGGCCGCTGAGACTAGCTCACAATTAAGTAAAATGTCACTCATTTAGGCAAAACTGGGGTTACTCATTCACTAAAAAGTATAAGAACCGTGCACAATTATACGCTTACAGGAAAGGAACCATGGTGTGATGCGTTTTTGTTATTGATTTCGGGGCATTCAAATTACAGCTAACACATTGATTTATTGAAATATCCGTGTTCATTTTTCAGTACATATCTGCATCTCTACGGAGAAGTAATTAAGCAATCGTTTCGATACAGTTATCAAACATTTTTGCTCTTCTCACAAGAATCTTTTTGTTCAATTGTAGTGCTCCGTTGGTTATAAGCATCATTACCATTACTTACCACTGTGCTATCTTAAAATATTAGTAAACATAATCTTACTTCTTGGAGGGGACAGCTTTTTCATTGATCACTTTAAATATGAGCACTTGTGCACTCTTTTTAACACACAGTACTGAATTCTTGTATTGATGATTTTACCATACACGCTGCAATTAAACTCATCCTCCAGAAACGCCATCTAAAACACTACTGAATGTCTGACAACGAGCTTTTCGTTTCCTACCTTTTTATAGCATCCGTAGATTTTCATCCATATGAATTGGTATCAATTGCACCAACTTGGCTTATCTTTAGTTTATTATACCTCAACTCGTACCCACCTGTACCACCGTCTTTTGGATGCTCCTTTTTTAATCTTTTTATATGCCTACTTCTCGCTCGTCTCTGCACGTGAAACAAAAGACCAACATATTAATTGAAAGCCAAATTGGAAACTCCTAGTATTACCTCCCGTTGCCTCACGTTTTTAACAGCTAAGTTCAGTGAGTTAAAACTTCATACTATTTTATAAGAAGACAATTCAATCAAATCAATAATATAATAATAAGGCCTTCAGACTATATTATTTGTAACTGAATCGAGATACGTCAATATGTACTCACCTCATAATTATGGATAAGCTAATAACAATTTTTGATCAGTCAGTCTATCGAAGTGATCCATAATTGTGGGGTCATTGTATTATGAAATATTGTCCAGTTGACCTTTTCCAAAAATATGCAATAGCATTGTATGGGACCATGATACTTTTAATTTAGTGCATGGTGCTTTCAATATGGAGCTGTGGTTGCTGAGAAACCTGACTTACTTTATTTTGTCACAAAGTCACATATACAAACATATACACGCTATTTACACGGGTGCCCATTGGATATAGGATAATACATTCCCGGTTTTGTTCCGTTTTTCCCCGTTTTCCCCGGGTGCCCATCATAGTTTACCCGGTTTCATATAAATAGCTAAATATGGTAAAAAGAAATACTCACTTGAATCAATTACCAGACTTTTCAAAATGTATTTGGCTCTATGCTCGCAACAAATTGTCCAATCATGTTCTAAAAATTAGTATTAAAAAATATGTTTTAAGAGTCTCAGAATTGTGAAACTGCTCATCGTTACATGTCTATTTTTGACAAAGCACTAGGTGACAACCCAAGTAACAATTTTGGTTTAATGAGGGCAGGCTTGCTTCCACTCACTTGCTATAAAAAATGATTTTTTTGATTTTTGAAATCATTAGATGTTATAATGATATTTTGTACCGAAATTTGGTGATAATCGGATAAAATCTCGAATTTTGAGAACGAATTTTGTGTGCGTGGATTTGAAACGATACACCCTTTACTTGCCATTGTCCATTACGTTAAGAATGAAGGCTACAAATTCAAGAAGATTAGAAGTAGCTGAGCGACCTTTAAAAAGCCGTGCTGTTTGCTTCTTGCTGAAAATTTTTGTGCAAAAGATAATGACAGATTTTTTGCCTGATTTGAAAATAGGAACTCGATTTCAAAATTTCAGAGAATTTTCCATTTTTCTCAGAGACGTATTGAAAAGGCGTTCAAAATTAAGGGTAAGTTGTTCTGAAAGATTCTTCAATAATGCAGGTTCAATTCTGTCAGGTTCTGCTCCTGTAGATGCGTCCAAATTGTTAATGTTTTGAAGACTTCATGTTGACATAGTTGATTGATAGATATGTTGTTAGAAGTTGTTAGAGTCCTGGAATGAAGGCAAAGAAGTCACGATAGCGGTCTTTTTCAGAATAATATAGGGGAAATGGATGTAATGTAGGCCTAAATGCCCCTAATTTGTGCCCATACATAAATTCTGAAATCGACTAAATTTTCAATAGCGAAAAAAAATCCATTAGTACCGTCCCAGTGACGAGTTCATCTAGATAAAATTGATAAATAGCAGCAATGGGCCCAATCTTAAATCCATAGGCCAACATAAAAAAAAAAACATTTTCCCCACTTCCTGAAAGAAATTTGCAAAGAGATTGCAGATAACAGAAGGATTTTCACCTATATTTCCGTCAAAATGCCTTCGTGCCCGGTTTGAACCAGCACTGGTGTAAACCTGTCATTAACAGTTAGGATATCAGCTGAGTGGTCAGTCATCTACGACTAGATATGTGCATCAATACCAATAAATTATGGAGTTCTTTGATCATCAAACCTATTACATTTTTGTTGAAATTCCAGGTTTTGTGACTGTTAACTAGTTTGCTTACAGAATGACAGGAGCAGAACCACAAATCTGAATCCACATTATAAAATCGATTGAAACCACTTTCATCACATGGTCCCTGGATCCAATTGACGTGAGTGTATTATAAGCACATTGGCAATACTGACAGACATTGTGATATACATGTAGGGTAAGATGGGGTACTATGCACCCTCGGGGCAAGAGGACTTTTTGTACATTTTAGAAACATTTTCAATATATTTTTGTGGATTAATCATACTATATAGCATTACTAGTTCAGAGAACGAACTAGCAATGTTACTTAGCAAATCCTCGAAAAAGAGGTAAAAACTGTATTTTAAACATCAAAGTCATTTTTCCCCAAGTGCACCTTACCTCATTTTACACTACGTTGTCAAGGATATAAGTTTTATTTCTCTCCCCTCTCAGGGCCGAGTTGGAAAAGGCATTGTATTTCAACCCGGAGGCGCTGGGTTCGATTCTCGGTCCGATCGATGAAATCTTTCGGGTTGGAAATTTTCATGACATCCCTGGGCATAGAGTATCATTCTGCTTGCTTCACAATAATCTATGTCATGCATTGGTTGGCATAGAAAGATCTCAATTAATAACTGTAGAAGTACATCTAGAATACTAAGTTGAGAGCCGGCAAAACGCTCGGTACAGAAGCGTAAAGAAGCCAAGCATAAGAAGAAGCTCTCACCCCACTCTTGTGCTGAGGATTAGTACTGCAAACCACACTTCATCAAACAAATACCGCAACCTAACATAGTCAAATGGACCACAAACAAAAACGGTTTAATTGATGGCATTGATTGGGAATCCTTAAAGATGCGACTCTAGATCATAATTATCGATACAATCATCATCAAACATTTTATCAGTCCATCAAAGCCCGCGTACTGACAGCGTTGATGATGCGTGAAATCCTGGTGCTTTACGCTTTTTCGAACTAATCCTGATTAACGAGGCATAAACATGTTATTAAAGTCGTAAAGCGATTCTCCCCCATCCATGTGAAGCTCGCGGATGTAACAGCATTTCAAGCTCGCATTTTTCCTGCCTCTGATCACAGCACGTGGAGTATACCGTACGGAGAGCTACGGACTCCATTGGGGTCAATTAATAGGAATGCACATTTCGTCCGAGGAGCTTATTAGAAGCAATCGTAACGACTTCCCATAAGTCCAAATTTATGGCCAGTCGAGCCAAACGCTCGCACCATCTCGCATGGCGGTAAGCGAGAATGAAGCAGAGAAATTTTCACGAAACACGAATTTTAGCGGCGAAAATTTATCACTTTTAATGTGACACTACCTTCCATTGGCTACCATTAGCCGGCAATACCAGCATAGATCTGTGTGCAAAAAAGTCTTTCGAAAGATGAAAAAAACTTTCCTTGGCATTGCTGCCTCAGATCGCCTGTTAGGTACGCTACGGTGCCATGCCCGTTTGCAGGTGGAATGGAAAAAAAGTCAGTAGAACTTAGTATTATAATACACAGCGGTAACAGCGAAGGGTGAAATATTTCAGCAGGGCGACATTCGTTGCGATAATTAAAATTAATTTTACGGAATGTTCCTGCACGGATCCTTCACGAGTGCTACATTTGAACACCTACACGTGGATTTTTTTTGGGGTGAAACACTACAAGGTAGGTTTACATAAAATAACGTTCCTACTGAATCAACTGCCTACTCTAAGCATTTTCTTGAGCTTTTCACAGCGCTTCTTAATACTAACATAGCGTGGCTTTATCTATTGTGTGACAGTGGAATAAGGCTGTGTTCCATTTGGTGAATTTTCACTTAAATTTGACAGACGAATTTTTTTTTTTTCAAATAAACCTGCTATTCCAGCAGACTTATTTCTGACAGACAAGGAATCAATTTTGACAAACGCTTTCTCGAAAATCGGTCGATCAACAACAGAGGGATTTTCGAACATCTTAATATATTTTAGAAGTGTCAAATCTAAGTGAAAATTTTCCAAATGGAACACAGCCTAAATACATCATGGGGTTAAGATCTAATTTCCGTCATACTAAGATGTAATAACTTGTTATGTATCGTGTGATGTGTACTATCGGCTGTAAGGAAGCTTTGAAGCGGGAATAAAATTCTACGTGTCATGAATCAATAGCATCGTCATAAAGTGTATTTGTTTTCCCAGATATTTACGACCGCCTCGTTCTTCATTGCGACGTTCATGACTTTCATATACAGCTTCAAAATAACCGTGCGTAACTTTTAGTATGTAAATAGTAATACCGATAAATAAATACAGATTCTTGTGAACGACAATACCAATATTCGTTAATAAAATAGTTCTGGTAATTCTGCCAAAGCTGTGCTTTTAAGCGAAGTATAGTAACATCATTATCCGTTAGAAAATTCTCAATTAGCAACTGAAAATGTACTAAAAAAACACTAATATTAGATCAGGTACAAACGATCAGTTGAGACGAATAAAAAATCATACTCCAGTGATTAATTCTGACAAATTGCAAAACAACTTTAAGCAAACTATTAAACAATAGACAACTGCAAAGCTCAACAAAAACACTCAAATTATATTCCACAAACTATGCAATCTGAAATACATTTGTTATGATTTCTCATCTGACAAACAGTACCCACATGGACATCATACGAGCCCTCATTGACTAATTCAATCTACTAAATTACTATCATAAACCCCATCAGCCTCCCCACCTGTAAATAGCAACTACGATCAAAAAGATAACCAAATCATTTTATTGCTCATCGCTCCCACCGCACCACTCGAAACCAACATTTCAATGATTTAAGAATATTGAAATTTAATTGAAAACCAATCTGGTTTGAAATTTTAATAACTTCCCTTCGATTCGATGTCGGCATCCACCACCAGTGCTGCACGTTCTCGGTATCGATTGCTAA